TTAAGCTTCCTTCAGGTGAATTGCATTAAAATTTTGAATATGTAAGAATTAAATATTACAGGTGTATGTGTGTAATTTATTACTTCAAACTTTAATGTAATAAGTTACACATACACACACACACACATACATATATATATATATATATATATATATATATATATATATATATATACAGTGTAACCCGGATATAAGAGAGTTGTCGGGACCGGAGAAGTCTCTTATATCCGGGTTTCTCTTATATCCGGGTTTGGTCTATTTTATTTAGGTAAGTATGGGCTCTAATTTGGGGACCAGAGAAAATCTCTTATATCCGGGTTTCTCTTATATCCGGGTCTCTTATATCCAGGTTACACTGTGTATATATATATATATATATATATATATATATATATATACACGTTTCATTAAATAATATACACAAGTGTTGTCTATTTATTTTATAGAAATTCTGTTCATAACATCTGATAAGTTTAATAACATTATCATTGAACGAAGAAAGAAACTCACAATATTGATCCATATTTTTTAATATAATCTAAGCTTTCGGAAAAGATGCTGCCTAAATACACACAATATATATATATATATATATATATATATATATAATTAATAAACGACCGATATCTTCATCTGCCGAAATAGGCCATTCCCCATATGAGGTAATTTTGGATTTTATTGTCTATTAATTATATTGCTCTGTATTAAAAAAAAATACATTGAGCTCTTTCTGCGCATCATTTTTAATATTTGAAAGATATTACTAAGATCCACTTGGATTATATATGAATGGATGAATGAATAGAGCACTCTGGTTGTCTGGTGTTTGTTTACATTCGTAAAAACAATACGCTGGAATTTGTCCTTCTCTCTGCCGAAGCGACGATGGCTTAGGGATACAAACTCCGACTGATGCTAAATCGGTTGGTTTTCGATCCTGGCTTATAGCATTCGGTTGTCTATATGTGTGTTTGTGTGTGTAATTATATTTCCTGTATATGACTAGCACAAAAAGGAAAAATGCCCTTTGTGTGTCTGTAGCAGGGAGGGAGAATACATCACCTGTCTGACTGATTCAAATGATTATTATATGAGCGTGTGATTACGGCAGAAAAATCGATAGCCTGCGAGGTTTACGGATCCATAATGCACACGCTGGTGCAGACAGCGTAAATCCCCTATTGGAGAATGTAAGTCGAACGATGAATCCGGATTACAACCACAGTGTTCCGGATCCCATTGCTGAGCATCAGCACCCTGGAGAAATTCCAAGCAAACCAATAATCCAACGGCACAAAAGCAATCTAAGAGCTACTTAGCCGAATCTCAATCAGAAACTCTCATTAATACTTACGAACCATCTAAAGGTCCCCATTAGCTAACCTATCCGATCTTTCTGCAGAGTTATGCCTGAGATTTGTCTTGGATGGTTTGATGTGGCAACTGCAAGAAGGGCTGGATAAGAAGAGAAGCGACCAAATAGATAACAGATTCAGAAGGATAAACTAAGAGCAGAGCAGAGAGTTGCGAATCGCCAATTCAAAAAAGCTCTAATTTATAATAGGGCAGGCCTTAAGGACATGATTAACGATATTAAAGAAATAGTTCTTAGTGATCTCTAGAGCTGAAAACCAAAGAAAACGTCGGAAGAAAAAGCGACAGCGTCGGAGAAGATTTTACAATAATCCTTACCCATTTGATAAAAAGCTGTTTGCCGAAACTAAGAGCGGTAAACTCAACGTACCGCAAGAGGAACTCGAAAATCACCTGAGGATACTGTATTCTGATGATCCAATGACCTATAAAAGACCTTCCTAGACCCCAAGATCCAAAGGTCACGTTTAATGACAGCGGACTAAAGCTGAGGGAAATTGGAGAACTCGTCCTCAAAACCCGTGCCGGTAGTGCACCTGGAATAAATGGGATATCCAACAAGTTATATAAGAATTGTTTAAACGTCCTCAAGCAACTCACTATCCTCCCCCAGCTGTCATGGAAACAATTTATTGTACCACAAGAATGGTGTCTGATGGAAGGTAAAAATGGTTCTCTCAAACGATTAAAAGAGAGCAGTTTCGTTTTAGAGGTGTTAAAATTGACAAGCCATTCCTTGACTGATCTTGCTGGCGGATGGCATTTGGATACCCAAGGAAAAGAATGCAAAAGCCATTGCAAATTTCCGCCCCATCTCCCTCTTGAATGTAGAGTGGAAAACGTTTTTTAGGGCTATTTGCCTGTCTTCCTGCTAAGTAACCATTACATAAACACAGCTGTCCAATGGGCTAAGTTATCTGGCTTCCCTGCTTGTCTGGAGCATTCACACAAGATTTGGAACATAATCCTATCAGCCAAATAAAATAAAACTGAGCTTCATGTAATTTGGCTTGATCTCACGAATGCGTATGGATCAATTCCTTATAGACTAATTCGAATGTCCCTCGAATTTTTTTAATTTCTCTAGTAAGATTGGGGAAATCATAATGAAATATTTCAGAACAGATTTTATGAAGGTCACCGTTGGTAACTACCCCACCAAGTGGCAAGCTCTCGAGGTCGGCATTATAATAGGATGTATGATTTCACCACTTCTTTTCATTATGTCCGTGGAACTCATATTACAGGGTTCAGAGGACACAGCAAATGGAGTGATGACTAAGAAACGAATGGTCCTTTCGCCTTCCAGGGCGTTCATGGATGACATCACTATTCTGGTCGCGTCTAATTTCGGTGCCCATAAAGTCCTGCAGCTCTAACATAAACTCTTCACGTGGGCTCGAATGAAGGCTAAACCCAAGAAAGGCCGGAACTTATCATTACTCAGAGGTTCTGTAAAGGAGATTTACTTCTACATTGGTGGGGGCGACATGATACCGACAGTCAAAGGAAACCCAGAAAAGCCAGTGGGGTGCTGTATAAAATTCCGCTGACTAATCGGCACTGAGGTAAAGAGGTGCAGAAAGTGCCATTAGATGGACTTGAATCAATCGACAGAACCCATCTAGCTGGCAAACTGAATTCTTGGCGTTAACAACATGGATTGCTGCTCCGGTTTCTGTGGACTACTCGGTCTCGTATTGCAGGTTACAGCCAGATATCAAAGCTGGCACGAAATACTCGATAGTAGAAGCCACCCAAGAAGCAGAATCCAGCCTGTGAACCAAAGAGATTATGGGGACCACCCAAACCAATAGAACTGGCCTGAGTAGCACGGGCAATTTTTTTTCTCCAAATAGCGTCCAAAGTGTAAACGATAGTGATTGAAGAAATAAAGAATTTCAAGGAAGAACGGCGAACAGTTTCTACTGTTTCTCAGTCCAAAAACGGTGCTTGGAGTATATGGATGGAGTGACCTTGATCCAATGAATCTATCATGGAATACCCTGACTGCAATGGAGTCATTGGCAATATCATTCCTCCTGTGTTCTACCTATGATCTCCTATCAAATACGACCAACTTCTGTGTGGTTACACTGACACTGATGTATACGCATTATGTCAAAATGATCGAGGCACTTTACGTCACGTGCTCTCTACATGCCCACAATCACTGCCAAGTGCTGGGAGTGGTCATGGACTTAGTCAGTACACAGAGCAAAGCAGCCAACAAACAACCTGTGACGAGCAGAGAAGCTAAGATCCGTTTTCACAGAGAAAGGTGAACGCCTTTTACGGAAGACCCAAATAACTCCCAACATGACGCTACTGAGTGAATCAGTTAGTGAAGGGTTGATCTTAGAACACCTTTGTAATTTGCGGTACACATCATTCAGACAGACGGACGCCATGACATTGTAGCGTAGTCTGATTCAAAGAAGAGTGTCCTTCTAGTAGAATTAATGGTTCCATGGGAGGAGAACAGGGATTAGGCGAACGAGCGAAAGAAAAACCCCGTGGAAAATGGATTGACATGCCATGTCCTAACTTCTGAGGTCGGGTGCCGTGGATTCCTTGGACGCTCAATCGTTTCGTTTCTTTTGAAGGTGTGCACCACAGGCCGGATCCTGAAGCGTGCTTCACATCGTCTCCAGACCACAGCTCAACAGGCATCGAGTTGGCACTGGTCAAGATTCAAAATAAGAAAAAGTTAATTAAAACAATGTAACACAATGCTACTTCCGGCGTGAAACGCATCTGTTTACGTTCCATTCTTCGCCATTAACAACATTCGGTACGAACGCATTGTATATTGTTTAACGATCCAAAGCAAACGCTTTTAACACAACGTTCAAAGGAGCGTTCATGGAAGATTGAAGTTTATAAGCAGTAAATTCGACCTTGCCTACCGAACGATCCTTTGTGGCCGAGTCGGTTAAGGCACGTCAGCGTAAATGACGGTTCCGTATAGGATGCATGTTCGAATCCTGTCAAAGGACTAATATTTTCTATGAAAATTTCTCGGACATTCAGGCCGGTAAATGTTATTTAATACTGTTTATTATAAACAGAGCATTTACTTAAATACTTGTATCTATAAAAAAGAACGTTAAACATAAAAATGTCTTTAATAAATAAATTGTCGGACTTTGTCCATTTCTTTATATATATATATAAGGATATTATAACAAAAATATGTAAGAATCGTTGCACAATTGCAGTCGTGTGTCAACACATAAGGATGCGTATCCTCAGGCGATTGTAAATTACTGTCGAGTGAACGAGTAATTTGAAGTGAAAAGCAAAATACATCCTCTTTTTAAAAAAAAATATTAGGCTTGAAGGCTTTACCCTGATCAACCAATCGAATATGACCTACATTAAATTCAAACTAAGCGAAAAAGAAAAAATTGGAAATTAATATCTTAAAATTGAGCCATCTCTTAAATTAAATGTTATGAACGTTGGAAGTGTACTCTATTCCTTCTCATCCTACCTGGAGATATACATATATATATATATTCACATATGTATATATAATTATATATATATATATATATATATATATATATATATATATATAATTTCATAATTATATCATTTTAAAAGTTTAGTTTATTTCTTAGGCTTCAGTTTTTTTCTCTTTCTCTTCAATTTTCTTCTTCTCCCTCCCCACTCCAATTTCCCGTTTCTATTCTCTCTCTTTCTATTTAACTATCAATACTTTTCTAATACTCTTTCTATCATCCTTTCATTAATTCTTTCTCTTTCTCTATCTTTTTGTCCCAGATCTCTCAACCTTACTCTTAACTCTTACACGATCGCGGTTCGTTTAGTTTATTGTTTCACCACCACAAACACGACCAACCCCAGCCATTTTGCACCTTCGTCTTTCTTGGTTTAATGTTTATCAAGTCAGAATCCAATAATACAACTAATAAAGCCAGACGACATTTTCGTCTCAGAACCAGTGAGTAAAGTCATTGACTTTTGCGTATCAAATATCGCCTGTCGTCGATGGCAGTGAAAGTACTTGCTATTCTTCGATTTCGTTTTGGTTCCAGCAATACTGGAATGTCCTTCAATAAAAGAATATCGTTTAATTCGAAAATGGTCTTCTTTTCGGAGAATTCCACTCAGATTTGAAAGCGAGATGTACTAACGACGTTGATGATAAACATGGCCGGTAAGGAATGGGCAAACAAAAAAGAAAGAAAAATGTCCTTTTTTTTTTTAACACACGCAATCCGAAAGCGTTAAAAGAGTAAAATAGAAGAAAAAGAACATTAGAATGAGAAGAAAGAAAGAAAGTTGGAAAGAAAGAAAGAAAGAGAAAGAAAGAGAAAGCAAGCAAGAAAGAAAGTTTGAAAGAAAGAAAGAATGAGAATAAAGTTTGAAAGAAAGAATGAAAGAGAAGAAAAAAGAATGAGAAGAAAGTTTGAAAGAAAGAAAGAAAGAAAGAAAGAAAGAGAAGAAAGAAAGAAAGAGAGGAAAGAAGAAAGAATGAGAAAGTTTGAAAGAAAGAAAGAATGCGAAGAAAGAAAGAATGAAAAGAAAGGAAGAAAGAAAAAATTAGACGGAAAGCAAGAAAGTAAGAAAGAAAGAAGAAAGAATGAAAAGAAAGAAAGAAAGAAACAAGGAGACTGAGAGAGTAGAACCCCAGAAAAATAGAAAAAAAAGAACGATTAATTCCAATTCCTGAAAAAAATGGCGACAATAAAGAATGAAGTTGGAAAAACAAGCGCCAAATAAAATTAAAGAATAGAAAAGAAATTTTGGTCGATAAATTTTCTTTCTTGATTGCAAAATTCAGAGATAAATAAATAGTTTGGCAAAAGGCTACAAATCAGGAGCACTCAGCGAGAATTAATTTCACGACAGTTGTAATGGTCTCCTTGTTAACCTTGCTTCTAAAGGAGACTTTTAAATTCAATACGATACAAAATTTAGATAGTAACGATTGTGAAGCGCCAATTTTCCAGACTTTGCCATTTCAAAACAATGCCAGCAGAAATACACAAAAGTATTTTCGTCTGTGCTTCAAAGAGAGATGGGAGGGAGAAGAAAGTGTGAAAGAAGAGAGAGAGGGGAGAAAGGAAGAGAGAAACGAGAGAAGTGAGAGAGTGAAGAAAGGGAGAGAGAAGATAGACAGAGGAGAGAGAGAAGAAAGAGTGAGAGAAGATAGGGAAGAGATAGAATAGAGAGAGAATATATAAAGAAAAGACAGAGAGAGAGAAGAGAAAGAGAAAAGAGAGAGACAACAGAGAGTGAGCGAATAGAAAGAGAGAAGCGAGAAAGAAGGAGGAGAGAGAGTGAAAGAAGAGAGAGAGGAGAGAAGTGAGAGAGAAGACAGAGAGAAGATAGAGGAGAGAAAAGAGAGAAGGAAGAGAGAGAGGGGAGAGAGAAGAAAAGGAGAGAGAAGAAAGAGTGAAAGTAGAGAGAGAGAAGAGAGAGAAGTGAGATAGAAGACAGAGAGAAGAGAGAAGATAGAGGAGAGAAAAGAGAGAGAGAGAAGAGAGAGAGAGGAGAGAGAGAAGAAAAGGAGGAGAGAGAAGAAAGAGTGAAAGAGAGAGAAGAGAGATAAGTGAGATAGAAGACAGAGAAAAGATAGAGGAGAGAAAAGAGAGAGGGAAGAGAGAGAAGAGAAGGACGAGAGAAGAGAGAGTGAAAGAAGGGAGAGAGATAAGTGAGATAGAAGACAGAAAGAAGAGAGAAGATAGAGGAAAGAAAAGAGAGAGGGGAGAGAGAAGAGAAGGAGGAGAGAGAAGAAAGAGAGATAAGTGAGATAGAAGACAGAGAGAAGATAGAGGGGAGAAAAGAGAGAGGGAAGGGAGAGAGAGAGAGCGATTACTTTGATATTGAAATATTCCTTCTTTATTTTAGTCCGTGTGATTTCTCTCTTCTCATTGTTCCTCTCATTTCTCTGTCCCTTCTCCCTATTTCTCCTTTGTTCCTCCTTTCTCTTCCTTTTTCTCTCTCCTTTTCCCATCTCTCTTTCACCCACTCCCTCCCTCTCTCTCGCTCCCTCCCTCTCTCTCGCTCCCTCCCTCTCTCTCTCTCAATATTTTTCTTTCTCCTCATCACTTTTCATTCCTTTCATCCTCCTCCTTTTTACATTCTCTTTCTCTTCATCCCCCCCTCTCTCTCTCTCTCTCTCTCACTTCCCCTCCCCCTCATACACGCATTTCAACCCTTACCGGGCACGTTACTAACCTGACATTGTGCCCAAACTCAAACTAAATCTTTCGAACACTTGCGGTTAACGTGTAATCTACTAGTATAAGGAGTTTCATCTTTACTCGATGCTCTATTTTCATTGCACTGTGCCAGACTAAAGTCAACTTATACTTCAGTATATGATCAATTATGAGTTTTCTCTAACTCCTCAAAAAGTTTTATTTTTCGTGGGAGTGTCTGTGCATGTATGTGTGTGTGTTCTTAGATATACAGGTGCGATGCATAAATTGTCGTCCATGTTACGCCAAAATGAAAATAATAATGATATGCCATTCTCATTTCAACAGATGTATTTACCTAAATTGCATAAAAAAAATAGCTTTAAATACTAAAGAGTCAATTTATTCAATAAAATCGCCATTGGCTTCAACCAGGGCCTCCAGACGACTTCGGAATCTCCTGCAACTCTTCTGGACTGACTCCTTGTTTAATTTGGTGAATTCTGCCATAATCCTTGCCTTAAGTTCATCTTTGGTGTTACAAGGAGTTTTGTTTGTGTCTTGCTCAACTGCACCCCACACATAATGATCAAGAGGCGTGCAGTCTGGGGACGAAAGAAGAAAAGAGGATAAAGGTAAAAAGAGAAGAAAAAGGAGAGGATGTGAAAGGGAGAAGACGAAAAGGAAAAGAGGAAAATAGAAGTACAAAAATAGATGTAAGGATTAGTGTGGTCGCAGAAACTGTCTGACAACCATGAGTGGTTTCTTCTGCTTGTTTAGCATGGTGCAGAGTCCTGTTGCGAGATATGGGTCTTCCAGCAGCAACCCTCTTGGCCAGGTGAGCACTACCTCCTAAAAGCACTTAATGTAGGCCTGCGTGTTGAGTCTGTGGCCCTCCCCATCAAATTCGATCAGAGTCAGTTTTCCAAGCTACCTACCTTCGTAATCACCATTAGACTCATCCAACTCTCTCCGAATCCTCTGCGCCGTTCTCAGATTGACATCAAATCACTCTGAAATGTTCGTATTAGAGCTTCCGGTGCGAATTCCAAGCAGTTCAGCTTTCCGTGAATTGTGTCATGGTGCTATTTTTTCACAGATAGTGCCCAAATGACCCTAATAAACAGTGCAATCGACAGAATAAAAAAAAACAAACAACGCGCAATATAAAATGGCAAATTTCTCTGTCTGTCTGTCTGTCTGTCTGTCTCTCTCTCTTTTCATTTTCATCTTTTATATATATATATATATATATATATATATATATATATATATATTTTTATATATATATATATATATATATATATATATATATATATTTTATATATATATATATATATATATATATATATATATATCGTGTAAATTAAGATTTATCTAATTTTTACAGCACAATTATAAATCCACACAAAATAAGCCGTATAGCCTTTTCCGTACTCTCATATATATATATATATATATATATATATATATATATATGTGTGTGTGTGTGTGTGTGTGTGGAGAGAGTGAGAGAGAGATAATGATATATATATATATATATGTGTGTGTGTGTGTGTGTGTGTGTGTATAGCAAGAGTAAATCTAAAAGACTTCCATGAGTTTAATACTCACAGGAAAAGATGCCCTTGTGCCATTCTAACAAAGCCAATTTATCTTTATTGTTGAATACCTAACATATACTGATTCTTATCAAGTTCGTCCGTCTTGAGTATTCGAAAATGTTATGAATCCGATTCTCGAGTAGTTTTCAGCTCTTTCGATCTTGTGCTAAACTAAAAGTAATTTTATATGTGCATGTGCGTGCGAATCGGTGTATGCTGATGTATGTATGTGTGTTTACGCCCATAATATATATATACATATACACATACATATGCATATATATATATATATATATATATATATATATATATATATAGAGAGAGAGAGAGAGAGAGAGAGAGAGATATCATGTCGTATTCAATTAACCAGTTGTATCTGCTGCGACCCCCCCCACTACGGCGAAAGGGGTTACTGGGAGTGAAAGAGAATCACTTTACTGAGGAGAAAGGAAAATAGAACAAGGCGATTGGCGTTGGATTAAATTTTTTAAGATTGTTAGTGTCAGGGAAGCAAGATATTGAAAGAGTTCTACAGTTGGGAAGTAGGGGATAAGACCCTATTAGAGTAGAACTTATGGTCACATCAACAGTAATATGGTGAAACCTAGTGACCAGTAAGATTTAAATTCACGCCGTCGATGTACTAAAGAGGATAGCTCGTTAGAACAATTGCTAAGAAAATATTTAAGGAAAAAGACTGAGAGAAACCTGATCATGGCAATGGAAAAAGAACTGAAGTCGAGATGCCAGGTCAGGAACGATGATATTGCAGATTCTTTTTGGTATTTTACAAAGAATCTTGAGGTATATAGACGGAACACCAGACCAGATATGGCAGCAATATCCAATGCACGGACGAATAATAGATTTATAAATGTGCAAGATGGATTCTGACGATAAAAATTGTCTGGTACGACACAGTGAACCAACTTTCCTAGCAGTAGATCTAGCAATTGATTCAATATAATCACTCTACTTCATGTCAGTTGAAAACGTGAAACAAAGAAGACGTATTCACTCATATCCCTTACCTCATTCAGTCATGCTCTACATTGAGTGACTCTTGAATCTTGTATTGGGTGAAAATCAGTTAAAAAAAAAACCTTTTCAAATAATGAATTTACATTTGGCAAGTCAAATCTGAACTGAAAGACCCGGGTGATGCGATTTTTTTATCAAAAAATGTGCAAATGCATCAGTCATACAGTGTGCAAGCCCACCGAGTGACGTCTCGCTGCAGAGTGTCAGTTTATGTGCAATAATATCTACTCTAATGGGTTTACTAAGTTATATCAGGAGGATGTCAGGAAGCACAGTGGAGGATTGAGGAATCGGAGAGCCGAGTTCGAATTTCAGTCAAATCCGTTACATTCACTTACGTGCTAATAACCTTGGGAAAGTTATGAATCCCCTTCTCCTCCCAGCTATGGATAAAGAGCAGGACAGACCAGGTTCTATAGCCTTGGATGGCAACTGGTCTACTGCAGAAAGAAATGGCAACCTACTACGGGAAAAATCTGCCTCGTCAGTCATCAATCAAAAGATACATGATCGCCTAAGCGCGTATAACGCATGTCACATAACTGTGTGAAATCCACTTACGTGCTAATACCCTTGGGAAAGGTATGAATCCTTTTCTTCTAAGCTATGGGTAAATAGCAGTACAGACCAGGTTCTATAGCCTTGGATGGCAACTGGTCTACTGCAGAAAGAAATGGCAACTTACTGCGGGAAAAATCTGCCTCGTCAGTCATCAATCAAAAGATACATGATCGCTTAAGCGTGTATCACGCATGGTACATGACTGAGTGTAATTCCCTTACGTGCTAATACCCTTGGGAAAGGTATGAATCCTCTTCTTCTAAGCTATGGGTAGATAGAAGAACAGACTGGGTTCTATAGACTTGGATGGCAACTGGTCTACTGCAGAAAGAAATGGCAACCTACTGCGGGACAAAATCTGCCTCGTCAGTCAGGTATCGAAAGATACATGATCGCCTAAGCGTGTGTCATGTATGGTACATAACTGACTGAAGTCATATCAAGTCCGCGAAACCGATTTTTGAGATAATCAAAATGGGTGATTACATTTCGGACTAACTAAAATATTTTCCTCTGTCCGATTTGCCGAAGAATTCATTCTCTTTTTCCTTTCGCACGAAATCTGTAGAGAAATAGACCATTTTGCAATTTAAAAAAAAAAGTTTTATCTTTTAGAAAATGAAACGACGTTATACACAAACGATAGAATAAAATAATAAATCAATCTTTAGAAGCGAACATTGAATTGGAGTTGCAGATTTTCCAGCCCAGTTATTGGCCCACTCTGTCAGTGGGTGCCAATACCGTGCAACCTGATGCAAGATGGTCAATTGTTTCGGGATATTTATCACAGAATCTGCATTTGGGGCTAACACAATTTTTCAGTAAGTGGGCTTGGTAATTTCTAGTTAGCAAGTATTGATCCTGTGCACCAAGAATAAAACCTTCAGTTGCAACTTTTAACCCTACATTTCGTACCACTGATGGGTATAGGGTTTATATTATTATTATTATTATTATTATTATTATTATTATTTTCTTTGATTTCTGGCGTTTACACATTTCTTTCCGGGTCCCGCCCAGGGACCTAAGGTTAGAAATGGCGTCATGACACTTTCCACTGACAAAAAAAAAAAAAAAAAAAAATTAAATTACATAGATAAAGCCCTTCGTAAGGTGTGGGCTGTACTTGTCAGAACAATTTTTTGTATCTCCTTGAGGCATGGACTTCCAGGAATCCCTTCAATTAGTCTACTGCAATCTTTTCCAACCAGTCCTAGGGCTCCAACTACAACAGATTATCATTTGTATATGTTATGTTTCTTGCATTGTATCCTGTAGAACCTTGGCCCAAATTATCGCCTTTAGGCCCTATAGGAGAATTGACATTTAATTGATATCACTTTTCTTAATATATGGGATGTTTCTACTAGGAAGAAAATGAGTAACTACCGACAGCGAGGTTCGATCGTGACACTCTGGACTTATGAATATATGTTTTCCGCCAGGTGTATAAATAGCAGTGTCTGACTACTGACTGCAAGTGATTAATGAGTGACTATTGCGTGGAACTATCAAGTCGAATTGGTGTGAATTATTGCGCGTCGATGCTTTGATTTTGATTTAGGACTTACTAAACCGAGCCGAGACGCTCTACTAACAAGGTATTCACTGGAATGGTTAATTTTCTTTGGTTGAATTTTATTTCTTGTTAAGTATTTATTTGCGGTTGTAATTAAATACTGTTTTATTTAACATTAAAATCTTGAGTTATACTTAATTATTAACGACCACCGTACGTCACAAAATAAACTAATCATTATTCACCATTTTCACATTTAACTGACCTGTGAAAAATGCCGCGTGAATGTCTGGATAAATTTGTGAGAAAAACTTACCAACTATATTTTGGATGCAAAATTGGAGACCAAGTAAAGAAGTGGGTATCATACATATGTTGTAATACTTCTGCACTAAATTTTGACTAACGGTTCGGGTGGAAACACCCGGGTTCCTCACAGTAAACTTGACTTTGTAATTACATACTGTTTTATTTTAACATTGAAGTTTTGAGTTATACTTAATTATTAACGGCCATCGTACGTCAGAAAATAGTTAAACTTCCGCGCTACAATTAAATTATGATGATAAAAAACAGTCTACTTTTCATTATTTCTTTATTAACACAAACAAAATAATTTCGTATAATTTGTAATAAAAAGATAATAAAAATTCTTTAAAAAATTATATTTTTTCTGTTTATTAATAAGATATCTGAGCTTGATGTTTTTTAGAACATCTTTGCAAGATCGAATTTTAGACAGGCATACACTTACAAGGATTCTAGTGGTGATTGACTTTTGTCTTTGTATACGTTTATTTATTATAAAAATGATCGTATAATCAAGTTAAAACTGGGATAATTTTTATATCTACACTTATCATGCTTTAGATTTCTTTTGAAAATAATTTAATTAATGATATTTACAAAGTTTTGCGAAACAATTACGATCCTCACATTGCATACTATTCTGCCGTGGCACACCGGATGAAAAATGCTGTTCTAAATTATTCTTGACTATTGTTGAATTTTGATAATTTCAGTTAACAATTCTTCTATTGTAATTTAAGGCTTCTCAAAATCTCTTTGACACTCTGCCCCAGCTCTGCCAATATTCCGTTCCACAACTGGGTTCAGTTCACTGTCAAAAATCACATATTTTTCATCTTCACAATCTCTTTCAGTTTTTACGTAATCACAATTTCTTTCAATTTTTCCATCTTCACAATTTCTTTCAATTTTTCCATCTTCACGACTTCTTTCAATTTTTCCATCTTCGTAATTTCTTTCAATTTTTCAATCATCGTAATCCCTGTCAATTCTTCCATCTTCACAATTTCTTTCAATTTTTCCATCTTCACAACTTCTTTCAATTTTTCCATCATAACAATCCCTTTCAATTTTACTCTGTCGTCCGATGAAACTTTAACATTCACGAATTGACGAATTTCCGTGTCTTTTTTTTATGAGAACAGGATCTGCTTTCATGACCTGAACTGAATGTTTGGGTGATTTCCTAAGTGTAGCTTAGATGGGGTACAAGGCCGAAAGTATAGAGCACCCAGTTAGGATCCAACTCACATCACGGTAGTAATTGTTAGGACTGAGTTTTATGTATGAATTACAAAATTCCAGGCAATTTTTAGTTCTCCTATTCTCCATGGCAGCTTCTGATTTTTGAAAATATTCGATAGCTAAACATATTTTTTTTGCATAGTTACTGGAGGATAAAAGATTCTGCCCAATCATGTCTACATTTGTCCTTCTTCTAAGCTAATAGTTTTCTCCTAATCATCCTCATCATTTACTATTTTTTTCTCTTCTTTTTCTTCTCTTTGTTTTCTGTTTTTGTTTATCTTCGTTTCTTCCTTCCTATTTTCTTTCCCTTTTTCTTATTTTCTGCATTCACTCCTCTTCTCTATCATCATTCCTTTCTTTCCTTCTTTCTGTCTTTCTTTTGTTTTTTCCTTTTTTTTTGTTTTTGTTTTTTTCGATGACGTTTCTTGCATGGCTTAAATATGCAGTAAGACCGTCGTATATAGATAGATCAAGTGCAAACCATGCAAAATTAACGAAATCTGACGTGATTCATCGAAAAATCAATATACAGGTAAATAAATTATTCCCATGCATCGATAGATTTGTTTATTTTTTCAACATTTATTTTGGGAGATTTCCTTCTTCCAATCGTGATGATTCCTGCTTTCCTTCCTCTGAAATTCCATTCCGTTGAGAGGCGCAGTTCTGTAAATTTCAAAATAATAATGTTTCTCCTAGTTTTCCTTCGTTCATATCTCTGTGGTATCCATTGGTTGTTCGTTTAATCCGAAAGAACCAGTTATATATCATAGTAGTAAAACCACAATTTGGTAACTGGTAATATTTGTCAATTTTAATTACAGGCATACTAGATTTACCTAAATCTGGATTCAGTTTGACACAGGGTTACATTTATGGGGCACTTAATGAAGATCAAACATAGAACAGAAGTTTAACCACTGCTCTGTGATGGGTAACCTATTCAATATTCTCTAAATTTACCATAGATTGGTACAAGGCACCGGTTCCCAGACGGTGCGGCGCGCGGCATAATTGAGGCGCGCCTCATAGTTGCGGCGCGCGTCATAGGTGCGGCGCGCGTCATAGTTGAGGCGCGCCTCACAGGTTCGTCGCGCGTCATAGTAGAGACGTGCCTCATAGGTGCCACGCGCGTCATAGTTGCTGCGCGCGCATCATAGTTGAGGCGTGCCTCACAGGTGCGGCGCGCGTCATAGGTGTGGCCCGCGTCATAGTTGAGACGTGACTCATAGGTGTGGCCCGCGTCATAGTTGAGACGTGCCTCATAGGTGTGGCCCGCGTCATAGTTGCGGCGCGCGTCATAGTTGAGGCGTGCCTCATAGGTGCAGCGCGCGTCATAGTTGAGGCGTGCCTCATAGGTGCGGCGCGCGTCATAGTTGCGGCGCGCGTCATAGTTGAGGCGTCCCTCATAGGTGCGGCGCGCGTCATAGTTGAGGCGTGCCTCATAGTTGCGGCGCGCGTCATAGTTGCGGCGCGCGTCATAGTTGAGGCGTGCCTCATAGGTGCGGTGTGCCTCATGGGTGCGGCAGAAGAAGCTAGCAGATGAGGTGGAATGATTAAAAGACAATCAAAGTTTTACAAACAGTTTCAAAAAATTTATATGCCAAAAATAAATATGATTCAAAATTTAAAATATTATTATTGATTACTTATAATTGCAGGCATGAGTCCCAGTATAAATAGTTATATATAAATATTGATAGATTTTATCAGTGTCATATTTTTGCATTATATCAAGTATTAAGAATATAGTAACTAGGCTCTGCAAATTGGAGGAGAAAGTTATCAATGATAATGTTCTGACTTCGAATTCGCGATTATCCCCCTTTAACCTTCTCTCTGGTTTTTATTTTTAAATGTCCTTTTTATCAAATAAAATTTGGTGAGGCACGAGTAAATTTTAATCCTGAAAATGCGGCCCAGAAGACCAAATTCACTTCATTACCAAAGGCTCGTTCGTTATCCACAACTCTCAGTAATTGGCGTAATAGATATTCATTATGTTTTCTTAAGTCCATCTTGAGACTACAATATCAGAGCACCCGGTATGTATCAAAATCAATGACTTAGGTATCATCTAACAAAATGACTTTATTAAGAATAGCCCAAAGGAGGGCGCGCTCATGATATAATACCTGTCTTTAACTTCTGCAGTAACCAAATTTGGATCATTTTATGTTCAATAAAAAACACCCTCTTTTTATCATTTCACACCAATGCCACGAGTATGCAGGTGCTTACAGAGAATGAAAGTGAGAGAAAACAGCGAGAATAGAAAGGATTGAGGAAAGGACAAAAGGTGAACGGGATTCAAAATAAAACATGACGAGTGACGTTGCATTTAAATTTTTGAATATTGTAGTTATCGGGGAAGAAAGTAAATGGAAGGGAGTTTTACTGTCGGGAAGTACAAGAAAAGAAACTGTTGGAGTAGAAGTGTCGGTTGCATTTAGCAATTTCAACAGTAAAAGGGTGGGACTCTGATGCCAGGCTAGTAGCACGCTTAAATTTAAATAGTCGGGACACCAGGGGAAAAGCTTGTCAGAACAGTTGCCAATGAAAATATTTGTAGAAAAGACAGAGGGAAGCCACGTCACATCAGTGAGAAAGTGACTGAAGTCGAGATGCCAGGTCAGGATCGATTATATTACAGATTCTTCTTTGGATTCTTTCAAGAATCACGAGATGAAGAGCAGGATCCACAGAGCAGATATGGCAGCAGTATTCAATGCACGGATAAATGGTCGATTTGTTTATGTGCAAAATGGGCTCTGATGAGAATAATCTTCTGGCATAACACCGTTACCCAACAGTCCTTGCAGTAGATGCAACTGTTGATTGACTCTTTACATTTTACTGAGTAACAGTAATCATTTCTAATTTCTTTAATAACTAAAGTACAATTACTTACTTTTAAGTATAATATATCTATTTTTGAAGTAAAAGCTCTTGCTATGTGTTTTTATCAAAATTGGTTCTCAGCGTCTTTTTAAAAGAAGCGATCAATATTACAATGTTATGATTCCTTCTTTTTTTTTTTTTATAGAAAAACGATGTTGTGAAAGTTGGAGGTTTGTACGAAAATAATCGGCGAAAGATAATGGCGCACGCTTCGAACAAGTTCAAATGTAATGGTTATTTGTGGTTAAATAGTGTCATCTCATGTGAAAGGATTCACACAAAGACGAAACTGAGAGACATGCAGCCCACGAGTCACATGCAGCCGGCGAGCCACATGCAGCTCGCGAGCCACATGTAACCAGCTATCCACATGAGGCCTGCAAGCCAGATGCGGTCCGCCTGGTCTTTCTAAATGGCACACTTAAATACATAAGGAAAATAACGTTTCTCAAGATTTTATTTTCTTTCATTCTCACTTGTTCACTCACACACTCTCTCACCCACATGCATAAATAATAATTAAGTACAATGTTTCTTGAATTTTGTAAACTTTCGAGGAACTAACGTTGTTAGGTTTTTAAACCATTGGCAATTTTCGCTAGGGGAGATCATACGCGTAAACATCTTTTGCTTTTGAAACAGGTTTCCTTGTGGTTCTAAAGAAGTTGTTCATAAGAATTATTTCTCTAAAGGATAACTGTTTTCCTTTACAAGTGAATAAATAAGAAATAAATCCCACATTACACAGTCATCAGTGATAATATTAAGCAAAGTCTTCAATTATTTTAATTATTAAAAAATATTTTCTAAAAAATTAAACTTTCCTACCATTTCTAAGGCATATGCTTACACATATGGTTTTCTGTAGTGAAAATAGCTGAGGTATCTCCGACAAAAAATTACCTTGAGTCTTTTGAGTAGTGCGGTCTGTCTTGTACTCGAAAGAGGTCGCCTATGCCTGTTCTAGCCGTTCGCTTTTACTCGCGTTTCAAGACTCCTTGAACGTTGTAATGGTGCTGTGGACATCTGTGATAGGGTGTTTCCTAGGTACCAGGGTAGACAGCTGTGAGTTTCAGATCCATCTTGTAGATGCCTATGACACGTAGAGCACGACGGCCTGCAAGCTCACTGTTCTTAACGTTTTATCTTGTATTTTTTTGGTATTCGGCCATCATTCATTCTATGTGCGTGCGTGACTCACTCATCGAAGATGATGTTCCCAAAAGAGTAGGGGCATACTCCAGGAGTACTTCTTACTCCAGCTCAACGGTGTTGGTAACTTTGTCTCTCCATGTGACCCCGAAGACACGCCGTAGACAGCGGAGATAAAAGCTTTCCAGCGTATATCGCCCATGTTTCGCTTCCTTAAAACAGCGTACACATCAGTTTGGTGCGCAAAGTCAGCTGACTCTTCTCCCATACTCTATTGTTCAACTTGGCTATCAATGCTGCTGCTTTAGCGATGCGTTTTTCAATCTCCAGGTCGAGCGATAGGTTATTGCCGAAGGTAGAGCACAGATATATGAAGTGATCTGTATTTTCAAGCACCATGTAATCGGTGCTTATTGATGGGGATACAGGAACATCCTGACTCACGAAATTAGTTTTATTTATGTTAACAGTCAGCCCGAATTCCTTACAGGAATAGTTGAACTGGATAATTTAGTTGTTAGAGAACATGTTCGGTGGGCGTGGTCAGAACTGCGTCACGAAGAAACAGCTTCTCCTTAATGAGTATTGTGCGCACCTTTGTCTTGGCCCTCAGGCGGACCACGTTGAACAGTTTACTATTGTTTCTTGTGCAAAAGTATACACCTTCTTCGAATTTTCTGGACGCAAACCCCAGTAACATGAAAAAGAATATGCCAATCAGTACTGCTAGGAAGCCGTCCTGGGTATGACGATAACCTACATCCGCGTCCTGGGTAAGACGATAAACTACGTCCGAGAGCAAGGACTCTGGTCAGGAGGTTTTGAGGATGGGGGAACCACCTCTTAATTGCTGATGTTCCCAGGTCCATCCTGACCCAGGGTGGTAGCACCTGTTAGGGCCCCAGCTATGGGAAAAAAAATTTTTTTTTTAAATTAACATGGTTTCCAGAAAACTTTGATCTTCACATGTTTAAATTCAATGTAAATCGTTACCTTTTTTTTTTTTTCCTAATTACTCTTCTATTGTCCTCGCTCCTTAATAATGTTTCTTTTTTTTTTCTTCTTCTTTCACGCTCGGTAACCCCTTGTGTCTCAGTGGCTTTACGAGACGAAAAAATATAATGCAAATCGAAATATGTCTATTTTTTTTAAGTGTGTTATTGATAACACATACAAAATTGTGGAGCGTGCAGTCGCAACGCTTAAGTTGAATTTTTGAGAGGGTTTTTTTACTAATATGGCAATTTAAGAATTTTATTGTTGTAGGTGTTTATCAATCAACGTTACATGAACTAAATTGTTCAATAACTAGAGCAATGCCTGAATTGTTTTGATTTAAATAATATTTTTTTCATCTAGGATGCTACCTGAACTTTATCAAACAGAAAATAGTTTCCATGCCTGATGATGACCGGAGAAGCCGTCGAAAGTACTCACATATTTCTCTCTATATATATATATATATATATATATATATATATATATATATATATATATATATATATGAGAGAACATAGATATATAGATATAAAATAAAAACTTGAGATACATACGTGAAAAAAAATTCTTCGATAACACACAAACACGCACACACGAATAAACATACATATATACACACATATATGCACACATACATATTTACATACTCACACACATATGCACACGTACATACGCACATACATACATATTTACACATGCACACATATATATACACATGAATAAATAGATATATTTTACCCACACGCACATATATATAAACACATATATACACTTATATCCACACACATATATATACACACATACATACATTTTAACCACTCCCATATATATACACATATACATACAATTTTAGCAACATATCTATCTACTGGAAGCCATGGATAAATTGATGCCACATTATTTTTTTTAATTTTACGCATGCGCGTTGTTTGTTTTTGATTTTATCAACGGCACAGTGTAGTAGTGTCAGTTGGGCACCGTCTGTTAAAAAACGAGTACCTTGATGCAATTCACTCCACCACGAATTTGGAAAGGTACTTTACTGCTTAA